TAATATAACATACATCTCTTCTCCTAATTTGCCTTCATTTTTCTTGTTATGTCATTGAGAATCCTCAGATTTTCAGCCAGCCCCTGCTTGCCTCACTCACCCTTTATCTTCTTTTGGACTCTGCTGTGCTTTCCTGGAAGTCACTAGCTCTTGTCAGTCACCATCAAACACCCGGGCGCCATCAAAAACCTGCCCCACCTGGAGGCCCTGCAGTCTGAGTACTAAACTCACCTCTAGACTTTTTCCTGGTTTCCTCTGCTATGTCTCCTCAAACACCCATTGTTATCATCACCCATCTCTGGGATACCCTTGAAAAAAAAAGGCTCAGAGAAACATGCCATGGCTGGGTGGTATAGGAGTGTTCAGCTGGAAGGAACTCAGCTCCTGCACATTCCAGGTGAGGACCCCAAAAGGCCAGGTAGGCAGTCATCAGGAAAGGACCAGGAGAGGCACCAGGGGCTGTGACTCATGGTCCTGGGTATGTCCATGACCCAAAGCTGCTGCACAATTTACACTTGGGAAAGTCTGTGCTTCTCTAAGACAAATCAGGCAGCCTCACAGTCTCTGAGCTCTCAGATCATTGTGCACCTGTCTTGTGATACATACACCTGCCATGGGCTTTTAAGGACTTGAGTGGGCTTAGAGGTGGGAGATGCGAACTCTGATTGAAAGATACCTGTAGGGAAACCAAGGGTGCCACACAAGGCAATCTTCTCTCTGTTATCTGCACAGCGGAGCCACCAAAGCCCTCCATCTCCAGCAACACCTTCAATCCGGTGGAGAACAAGGATATTGTGGCTTTAACCTGTCAACCTGAAACTCAGGACACAACCTACCTGTGGTGGGTAAACAATCAGAGCCTCCAGGTCAGTCCCAGGCGGCTGCTCTCCATTGACAACAGGACCCTCGTTCTACTGAGCGTCACAACGAATGACAAAGGACCCTATGAATGTGAAATACAGAACTCAGTGGGTGCCAGGCGCAGTGACCCAGTCACCCTGAATGTCCGCCGTGAGTATCTTCTGTTCCTCTGTGGCCCAGGCTGCCAGCCCAAATCCATGCAGCCAGAGGCCAGGCCTCTCAGTCCCTCTCGGGTCCAAGTACACAGACCCTCACTTCTAGTCACCCAGGCTGGCCATGACTTCCAGCCCCAAGCAAGCCTGGGCAGACCCAGCCTTGACGAAGAGTATGAGAGGAGGGGCTGCTGCTGCCCTGGGAGGCTCAGGGTCCACAGCCTGTGATGGGAGAAACAAGTGAATGTCTCAGGCTCTGCCTCAGTGAACACAGTCGGGGTTTGGTTGGGACTTCAGTACTGTGATTTGGGTAAGGGGAATACCACGGCCCTTCCACAGACCAGGAGCTTCCGCTTCCCTCTGAGGATATCACTTATGGCTTTATTCTCTTTGCTCCAGGAGGCTTGGACACCCCTGCCATTTCTACCCCAGACATATCTTACCAGTTAGGAGCAAACCTCAGGCTCTTCATCCCACCCACACAGTATTTTTGGCTGAGTGATGGAAAGCTTCTGCAACACATGCAAGAGCTCTTTATCCCCAAAGCACTGCAAAGAATAGTGTATCCTATACCTGCCATGCCCACAGATTGGCCACTGGCCACAATAGGACCACAGCCAAGATGATCACAGTCTGTGGTACATCGATCCCTGGACCATTGGCATCGTATTTTGAGGTGGGGTCTCTCTGGTGTTAAGGAAGAGCTGAAGAAAATTTTCTTTTCCAGCCTGTGTCCCAAGGGCACAAGCAGATCCCAAATTCTCCCCTCTGAACCCTCTCACTGTGTCTCTGCAGACCCTCCTCCCTGTGCTTCAGTAATTTCTCATGGCTGATTACGGATCCAGCCTGGAATGTGGGGAGGGGGCTCCCTCAGCCCCAAAGCCCCATGTAGTGGAAGGAGCTTCACAGAGGGGAAAGCAGGAAGGGTCCTTAAGGGTTCTCTCGGCCACCAATACGTCCCTTTTTGTCACCAATTTGTGTTCTTTTGCCTAATTCATGATCTACAAGGAACAAGGAGGCTTTGAAACAGGCTCACACTTTTTCCCCAGATGAGAGGAGGAAGCCCCCTTGGATGAGGGAGGAGCAGCTCAGACTCTGCCCCCTGCTCTGCTCTTGGCTCACCTGGTGACTGGTCCTGCCCTGACTCCACCTGGGGTGGGACCTGGGTGTGTGGAGAAGGTGCTTGGGTGACCTGTCCTGAATCTGGCTAAATTGAGCTGCCAATAAAAGGCAGAGCCTCTCCTGGGTTAGGCTTCAGGGAACTGGGAAGAGAGGGAGCCCCGGGGCAGACTCTTGAGCTATGGCCTGGCTCTGAAGTCACTGGCTTTATGAGGCTGTGGACACAGCATAGAGCACAGCTAGTGATGAACATTTGGAGAAATAGGGAGATTTAGCCACTGGGGCTCTGCATGGGACGGAAGGGGCAGGGCCACAAGATGTGTATTTATAGCGAGGACAAGAGTACCAGCCACTATATATTCATAAAGGTTAAACCCTCATAACCTGAAATTTACCATATTAGCCATTTTACATGTACGGTTTAGGGCTGGGCGCAGGGGCTCACGCATGTAATTCCAGCACTTTGAGAGGTTGAGGTGGGTGGCTCGCTTGTGCTGAGGAGTTCAATACCAGCCTGCACAACATAGTGAAACCCTGTCTTCACAAAAAATTAGCAAAACATGGTGGTACATGACCTGTGGTTCCAACTACTTGGTGGGCTGCGGCGGGAGGACCACTTCAGCCCAGAATGTTGAGGCTGCAGTGAGCCTTGATTGTGCCACTGAATTCCAGCCTCAGTAACAGAGCGAGACCCTGTCTCCAAAAAAAGTATGGTTTAGTGATACCAATTATGTTTATACTGCTGGGCAACCATCACCGCTATCCGTTTCCAGAACTTTTTCAACTTACCATACTAAACCTCTGCACTCAATAAACAATAACTCTCCACTCCTTCTAACCCTAGTCCCTGGTAGCCATTATTCTACTTTCTGTCTTCCTGTCATGGACTATTTTATTAATAAGTACCTCACATCAATAGACTTATACAAAATTTGTCCTTTTGTGTCTGGCCACATTTCACTTAGCATAGTGTCTTCAAGGTTCATTCACGTTGTAGTATGTATCAGAATTTGAGGCTCATGACTGTGTAAATGCTTGGCATTTTATTTTATTTTATTACTTGTTAAGATTGAATGAGTTTCCATTGTGTGAATATATTTCATTTTGCCTCTTGATTTATCATTCAGTGTACTTTTGGGCTGTTTCCACATTTTGGCTATTGTGAGCAATGCTGCTATCAACGTGGGTGTATGAATATCTTTTCAAATCCCTACTTTCAGTTATTTTGGGCATATGACCAGCAGTGGAATTGCTGCATCAAATGGTAATGCTTTGCTTAATTTTTTTGAGAAACAGCTTTGCCATTTTCCACTGTGCCTGCACCATTTCACACGCCCATCAGCAATGCACAAGAGTTCCAATTTTCCTACCTCCTCAAAACACATGTTTTGTGTTTTCTTTTCTTTCTTTTTTTATTAAATCCTAATGTGTGTGTGGTGGTGTGTCATTGTGGTTTTGATTTGCATATCTCTAAGTATTAGTGATGTTGAGGATCTTTGTGTGGGCTTATTGGCCATTTGTATATCTTACTTGGAGAAATCTCTGTTTTAGTCCTTTTCCCATTTTTAAATTGGGTTTTTGGAATTTTGTTGTTGAGTTATATTAGTTCTTTATATATTCTGAGAATTAATCCCTTATCAGGTATGTGATTTGCAAATATTTTCTCCCATTTCATGGGTTGCCTTTTCACTTTCTCGATAATGTCCTTTGATATAGAAAAGATCTTACTTTTTATGAAGTCAAATTTATCTTTTTTTTGTTGTTGTTGCCTGTGCTTTAGGTGTCATAGCCAAGAAATCATTGTGAAATCCAGTGTCATGAAGTTTTCCCCTATGTTTTCTTCTAAGAGTTTTACAGGTTTAGCTCTTACATTTAGGTCTTTGATTCATTTTGGGTTAAGTTTTGTATATGGTGTTAGGTAAAGATTCAACTCATTCTTGTTCATGGATATCCAGCTTTCCCAATATCATTTGTTGAAAAGACAACTCTTTCCCTATTGAATGACCTTGGTACCCTTGTCAAAAATAATTTGACCATATATGCAAGCATTTGTTTCGGGACTCTCCATTCTATTCCATTCATTTCTATGTCTTCCTTTATGCCAGTACCACACTGTGTTGATTACTGTGGCTTTGTAGCAAATGCTGAAATCAGGAAGTGTGAGTCCTCCAGCTTCATTCTTTCCTATTGTTTGACTATTTAGAGTACTGATATGCCATGTGAATTTTAGGATAGATTTTTCTATTTCTGCAAAAAATGCCACTGGGATTCTGGTAGGGATTGCATTAATATTGTCATCTTAATGCTATTAGATCTTCCACCATGAAAACGGAATTTCTTTCCATTTATTAATATATTCTTTAATTTCTTTTGGCAACGTTTTATCATTTTCAGCTTACAAGTTTTTCACCTCCTTGGTTAAGTTTGTTCCTAAGAACTTTATTCTTTCTGATGGTAATGTGAATCAATTCTTTTCTTAATTTCTTTTCAGATTGTTCATTGTAAGTACATAGGAATACAACTGGTTTTTGGCTGGACGCGATGGCTTACACCTGTAATCCCAGCACTTTGGGAGGCTGAGGTCGTCAGATCATTTAGGGTCAGAAGTTCGAGACCAGCCTGACCAACATGGTGAAACCCCGTCTCTATTAAAAATACAAAACAAAACAAACAAACAAAATTAGCCAGATGTGGTGGCACAGGCCTGTAATTTCAACTACTTGGGAGGCTGAGGCAGGAGACTCATTTGAACTGGGGAGGCAGAGGTTGCAGTGAGCCGAGATTGTGCCACTGCACTCTAGCTTGGGCGATAAAATGAGACACAGTCTAAAAAAAAAAAAAAAAAAAAAAAAAAAGAGACAGAGGAAAAAAAGAAAAAAGAAATACGGCTGATTTCAACTGATTTTTGCTTGTTGATTTAGTACCTGCAGTTATACTGAATCTGTTAATTAGTTCTAAAATTTTGTTTTAATCTTTAGGGTTTTCCACACATAAGTTCCTGTCATCTACAAACAGAGTTAATTTTACTTCTTTCTGATTTGGATGCCATTTCTTTCTTCTTGCCTACTTTCTCTTACTAGAACTTCCAATACTACATAGAATAGAAGTGGCAAAAGCAGGTATTCTTGTCTTGTTTTTTATCTTAGAGGGAAAGCTTTCAGTTTTTCTCCCTGGAGTATGATGTTAGTGTTGGGCTTTTCAGATATTGGCTTTATTATGTTGAGGTTGTTTCCTTCTTTTTACAATCTGAGTGTGTTTATTATGATAGAATGTTGAACTTTGTCAAATTCTTTTATTGGTTCAGTCTCCCTAGTAGTTATTAGTCTATTCAGATTTTCTGTTTCTTCATGGTTCCATTTAGAAGGTTTTATGTTTCTAGGAATTTATTTTATCCAGGTTCTCTAACTTGTTGGCACATAATTATTCATAATACTCATAACACTTACTATTTCTGTAAAATTGGTAGTAATCACTTTCATTTCTGATTTGAGTAATTTCTATCTTCTCATTTTTTTTTTCTTAGTTGATCTAATTAAAGGTTGTGAATTTTGTTGAACTTTTTTGAAGAACCACCTTTTGGTTTCATTGCTCTTCTCTATTGTTTTTTTAGTCCACTCGAAACTTTATTATTTCCTTCATTAGCTATCTTTTGGTTTCATTTGTTTTTCTCATATATCCTTACGTTGTGAAGTCAAGTTGTTGATTTGAGATCTTTCTTCTTTTTAAATGTAAGTATTTATAGTTATACATTTCTTGCACAAGATTCTTAACTTCTCTGAGCCTTAGATTCCACAATTGAAAACTGCAATAAGGTGCCTGCTTCACAGTACTGTTTTGAAGATTTAACGTAATTATTAATGAAACATTCAGCAAAGGTTGACTGATGACTGATGAGAAATTAAGCCCAAATTATTGCAACAGAAATAAAGAAGAAACAGAGGCAGAAGGTATTATATATACATTATATATATTCATATATATACACATATATACGTATACATATACATGGGAGAAAGAGGCATTTACACAAAAAATCCACTGGGATATGGTTACTGATTGATATGGGAGAGGGAAAAGAACAGAGTTAAATATGAAGTCTCAAGCCTGGTATGTGAGTTTTCATTCAGTGAGATGCAGCCAAGATGGGATTAGACACACAATATAATTTTGAGAGAAAAACACCTGTGAGGGAAAGTGGGTTGGGAGGGGGAGGAACCTGGGAGAGTCCTCAGATCATGATGCAGATGTGATGCCTGTGGAGGAGAAAGAGAAAAAAAAGAAAGTTTTAGATTGCAGTGCAGTTCTAAGAGAGTTTGTGCAAGACTGTTGGGAATTCCTCAAGCCCATCGCCTTTCAGAGCAAAACAGAGTCTTACAGAACTTGACTTGCTTTCACACACCTGCTGGGAGCCTGTGGGAAGCGAGGTCTCTGTGCAAAGGAGGTGGTGAATTCAGAATGCACTAACTGCCACAACTGAGACACGAAGAAAAAAAATGCAACCATGAAAAAGTGGGAAGTTTTAATGACATACAAGATTAGCAATCAGTCTTTCTCAAATTTCAAAGCCTTCAAAAATATCTGAGTGTAAAAAGGTCAGGATAGAACAGACAGAAGACTCGTCATCAACCTGGAAACCTGGTGAGATGAAAAACCTGCAAGAATTTAGTGGGCAAATCATCTCCCAGCAACCTTCCCACAGAAATAATGTATTCCTTGAAGGAACAAATAGAAACGACTTCATGCTGAGAGTTGGTTCCTGGGGTACCCCACTGTAAAATAAGATCACCTTCATTCCTTCTCTTTTCTTTCCATGACAGATGAATCAGTAACAGGAAGTTCTCCTGACCTCTCAGCTGGGACCGCTGTCAGCATCATGATTGGAGTACTGGCTGGGATGGCTCTGATATAGCAGACCTGGTGTAGTTTCTGCATTTCAGGAAGAGTGGCAGATATTATGACCTCTCTTCTTATCCTATTTCCTGCAGGACTGACTGCCATGCTTGGGAGAGGGAAAGGACTTCTTCACCTGTATCTGGGACTAGATCTCCTCCTCCTCCCATTACACTCCTGCTTCTCAGCACTCATTCCTGCAGGTCTCTTTTTCCCTGGTCTTCATGCTTCCTGTACTCCACTGTATCTTGGACAAGACTACTTCCAGCCTCTGCTCATTTGTTTCCCCAGTTCAATACACTGTGAAAGCTTCTTGGTCCTTTTTAAAACATCTTTCACTTGTGCTGTTCTCTCCATTACCATAAACCTCAACAACTGCTTGAAGTCCTGCTTGACTTCTGGTCTCCAGTCTTTGAATGCTTCCTAGCATATGACTGCTTCATTACCTTCCTAAAATCACCTACTCAAGAACCTGCAGGGGCCTACTCTCTCCTATTAGATAAGTTCACTTTTCTTCTCTTCACGAATCCTTTTTACTTCCTTTACCACTACTCCCGAGTATAATTTCTCCATTCTAATTAAATCTGTCTTCCTATACATCCCTGCCCCTCTGCCCCATATACACATAGAATTCTTAGTTCCAATGTTATGCCTAAAAATGAGGTAACCTTCCTCCACCACCTGCACTGTGGAGTTGCCCACACCCTTCGTCACAAGCAACCTCTGACCTTGTGGAGGACAAAGACTGTAGCATGAATATGTGAACCTGAGAGGAAACAACCTAAGTGTGGTTGAGAATCTTTTCCTGATAACCAATTCATGCGTTCATGAAAGATGCAGAATTGAAGAAGACAAGGTCCTTACTCCTGGGAATATAAAGCCTAAGACAGAAGATAAGACAAATGGCCAGGTGCATTGGCTCACAACCGTCATTCCAGTGCTTTGGGAAGCTGAGGTGGGAGGATCCTCTGAGCCCAGGAGTTCAAGGCTACAGTGAGCTGTGACTGTGCCTCTGCACTCCAACCTGGGCAACAGAGCAAGACCCTGTCTCCAGAAAATAAGATATGAAAAAGAACTGTAATGCCAAAATAGAAAAAGATAAATTCCATGAGAAGAAAGAGAAATCTAATGGGAAATATGGCTATACACTGAAATCACTAGGAAAGAACAACTGATTCCCAGGCTCCACTCATACATTTTGATTTAATGGTCTACAGTGGGACCAAGGCATTGTTATTTAAGCTTTCCCACATGCTACTAATGTGCAGACAGGATGCAGAAACCCTGCTTTTATAGGGAGAACTTGGGCTTAAATCAATGGTTTGTAGCTAGGGTTATGTATCAAAATTACCTCTGGAACTTTTTCAACATACATAAGCTTATACATTGTTGGTCATGTCTGCTAATGGGCGATGCCCTGAACTCAGTAATCCAGTCGAGAAACAGAAGCGAAATGGAAATTCACTTTATTTGATTTGTTAAATTATATGGAAAACACTGTCAAATGACGTGATGCCACCTTCTCTAAGTTATATTTGTGGGTATGTTATTGATGTGAATGTTTCAAAAATTACATGAGATTTCTAGAAATCTAATATGTTATCAGTCATAGTATTACATGCCACAGAACTAACCAAATTTGCTTGTGAGTGGTGTCGTTATCATCAAATCTATCAAATCTGAAGTCCCATCAGATTTTTAACCATTGTCATCTTAAGTCTTTGTCATTCACAGACAGTTGTTTTGACTCTTCTCTAAAAGCATTTGGAAATGGTTACAGTCCAAAACTGCTTCTTTTCCAAGGATATGTATGGATAAGACTCTGACAAGTTGTCTTGAATACAGGTTTCTGATAACTTTAGAATCATACCGTTGGGCTAAGAATTCCCAAAACTTTAATGAAGAGACATCTTCATGAAACTGCCAACCAAGGTCAAGCAGAACAAAAAATTAATTTCATGGGACTAAATGAACTAATGAGGATAATGTTTTTATGAATTTTTAGTTGAAGTTTTGATGATTCTTTAAATGTTTTATTTTCCGGATTTGAAGAAACATTTTTCTTTTAAGCTATCTATGTAGCTTACAGAAATTTGGTAAAATACAACTTGTGAACAAAAATTGAAACATTAATTTTTCTCCCTACATTTTCCATCCAGAATCAGGCAACCGTTCATGGCTGTTCACATTGTTATGAGAATAGTTGTTTTCATAAGTTCGATAAGAATCTGCTCTGTTTATAACAGGATACATTTAAAAAATACTGGTTATATTACCAAGACTTTGGCTGGGATGCCATATTTGGAAATATACGTAGAATGAACCCATAGGTACTGAGATGCTGCAGGCAAAGTCTGAAGTCAGTCTTGGTTTGGCTGCCTAGTGCTGAGAGGTTTTTAAAAGTTTGATCTGAGATTCCTTATCAAACCTTCCAGCAAAGCAACCTTAAAACGATCCTATGTAGTCAATCGCTATTCTTGCTGTACTTCCTATATAAAGAATCAGACCATGTTTGATGAGACTCTACCTATTTTGTAAACAGGTTAGTCTTACTCTGATATACTTTGGTAGAAACAGGGAGAGATGGAGAAAAGTTATGTTCAGAAGAAAAACTGTAATACAACTGTTATTGAATTGTAGCCCTGTATTTTGTTTTCAAGTTTTTATTATCTACTTGTAGACCGGACTGCCTGTTCCTTCAATGTCGTTTTCTCCTGTGGAACCACTAATTATAAGACCTGCTCTCATCCTGAAGACCTATAAGCTGGAGGTGGACAACTCAATGTAAATTTCAAGGGAAAACCCTCATGCCTGAGATGTGAGCCACTCAGAGCTCACCAAAATGTTCAACACCATAACTAGAGACACTCAAATTGCCAACCAGGATGAGAAGTTGATGACTTCATGCTGTGGACAGTTTTTCCCAAGATGTCGGAACAAGACTTCCCATCGTGATGAGGCTCTTATCCCACTCAATTTTTCCCTGCTTATGCCTGCCTCTTTAATTTGGCAAGATAATGCTGTAACTACAATTTCACCATCAGTGTAGGTAATTTGACAGAGTGTTGGATCTGTCATGTCATGTCAAACCCAAATCTTTACATGACCTAACGGATCCTTTATTCCACCCAGTGGCTAACTTTAACAACATCCCTAATACAACTGTTTTTTCACATGTACAGTGGTCTCTTTTAGAGTTAGACCTCTAGACTCACCTGTTCTCACTCACTATTTTAATGTAACCCAGTCATGGGATGCTAGATAATAGAATTGCTCCCTATTAGCTGAACAGTGAGGAGTTTGTGCAGTTGCTGACACTTCTTGTTGCACATGGATAAATACAGCGGGTACTATAGATACTCAGTTGCAAAAATTAACAAACATGCTGCTTGGTTAAAATGGGTAGGCTCCTCATGTGGCTCGTTCTTTAATCTATTCTATTTTATTTGGTTTGGCTCATGGGGTCTCTACCTATGGATCATACTCCAAACTCTTGGTGTTATCCTCCTGATTGTCACAATATTAGTTACCCTGGTGTGCTGTATTCTCTAAAACCTTTACATGTTTGTAGGCAGTCATTAGTCAAATGTCAAATATTCTCTCTTTGACTGGAATGACAAAAACTCAAATAAATGTGTGATTAGGAAGACATCATAACCTATGAATGATGGAAGTCCAAAATGATGGTAACTGACAGTAGTGTTAATGCCTTATGTTTAGTCAAACTCTCATCTAGGTGAGAGCCTAGTGACTCCAGAATGGAGCCTGTCATTCTAAAGGCCACATACTCACACTGAAACATTGAGGAAGCAGGTAGATCTCAGAACAGATAAATTTTTCCTAAAAACAGGAGAGTCCAGGCTATGTCAGCACAGTCAGAAAGTCCTTTCTGCTTTAACGCTTAGAAAAAAGTAATATGAAGTATTTTGAAATTAACCAATCAGTTTATTTAAATGAGTTTATTTATATTCTTCTGTTCCTGGATTCCCATTTTACAAAACCCACTGTTCTACTATTGTATTGCCCAGTGGAAGCTATCACTATATTTTGCAGAATGGAAACTGCCCTGACTCATGAATCACAAATAAAAGCCAATTGGATCTGTAATTGATTTTGTTGTAATTTTGTCTTTTGATGCATGTTCACAGCCAGGGACAGCCAGTGGGATCTCTCTGGCTGCATCATTCTCACCCTGACCCTTCCGCCTCCCTCTTTCACTTACAAGGACCCTTCTGACTACACTGAGCCCACCCAGATTATCCAGAATAACCTCCCATCTCAAGACCCTTAACTTCATCTCACCTGCAAAGTCTTTTTTTTTTTTTTGCCAAATAAAGTAGCATGCACAGGTTCCAGGGATTAGGATGCGGATATTTTCAGGAGGCCATTATTCTGCCCAACACAGGTACCTTTTGTAAACTCTACCCACAACAAAAAATTGCTTTGCCTTTCTTCTGTGTCTCACTTTTCTGTCTGAATCACAAAGAGCACACATTTCGAGGTGAAACACACCAGCTCTGCTATGAACTGGCTGGATGACCCTGGACTTCACTTCACCCCCTTCAGCCTCTTCTCATCTGCAGCACAAGGGTCACTCTTACTGCATCAGAAAATGACAGTGAATGGATACATTAATATATGGAAGGCATTAGACACACAGCCTAGTACCTGATGAGCCCTTAGTAAACTTTTCTTTCAGTCTTTTCCTTTTGGCATCCCACATTCTCTCACCATCACCCATCTTCTCCTTCACCTCCTTTCTCTTCAGTGACTTACTCAATCTAACCTTCTATTTAGCAAAGAAGCCACACAATCCCTTCTCTCACGACTCTGCTGGAATGTTCTGGTCATGCAGTCTGCTATCCACTCAAGGCAGTGGATATTATTTTTATTTTTATGCAGAGGTCTGTTTAAAACAAGAAGTTTCTTTTTTTTTTTTTTTTTTTTTTGAGACAGGGTCTCACTCTGTCATACAGGCTGGAGTGCAGTGGCGAGATCTCCACTCACTGCAAGCTCCGCCTCCCGGGTTCACGCCATTCTCCTGGCTCAGCCTCCGGAGTAGCTGGGACTACAAGCGCCCGACACCATGCCCGGCTAATTTTTAGTAGAGACGGGGTTTCACCATGTTAGCCAGGATAATCTTGATCTCCTGAGCTCGTGATATGCCCGCCTCGGCCTTCCAAAGCCCTGGGATTACAGGCGAGAGTCACCGCACTGGGCCAACAAGAAGTCCTTTTTATGTTCACATAAAATATATACATGCTTTCCCTTAATTTACACATACTAGTCGCACTTCTGCCCTGTTAATTCATACATACACTTCCTTATGTCACTCTTCTTCGGTCTTTCTCTTTACAATTTATAAATAAGGATAGTACAGAGGCAAAAAACCCTGACCCAGACCATAAGAGGGGATTTCTTCATTAAGATGAATGCTTTCCTTTAAAAAGATGAATGCTTTCCATTGGCAACATAAATGCTAGTCACAAGGCACCCCTAAAGCCCATTTCTAGACTTGACTTTCAGCAAAACCATTTGATCCTAGGACAAATTCCTAGACTACTAGGAGACAATATTTGTGACAGAAGCCACACCCACTCTGGCTGTTCCTGCTGTTGGGTAAAGGTATTTTTCACAGAATGTTGTGCGTCATGAATATTGCTCAAGATTCCAAATCCAGAAACATATAAAGAGGGCGAGTCCCTGGAATGATCACAAAGGGGAGAAGATTTCAAATCCAGAAACAGTCATAAAACACACCCAGAGTGTGTGGCCTTTGAGCAATGACAGTCCCACTGGCCTCTTTCCATGCCTGTTGGCTTCTGAGTTCCTTCTCAGCACTGTCCCCCAATCCTTCCACTGTGGAGTTTAAGCCCCTTTAACCATCTTCATCTCCAGCTACCTGCGGGGACCCTGACTGGAAGGCACTCTGAATGCTCCGGGTGGCACCTTCGCCTATTTCCATAATTATAATAGCTCACACTGACGCAGCACTCACTATGCACCAGGCACTATCTTAAGGGGTTTTCAGGTAGCTACAGTCCTCATAAAAAATCCTGAGTGTTAGCATCCCCATTTTTACAGATATAAAAAAACTGAGGCAGAGAAGTGAAGTCATGTGATGAGTGTCATCCGACTCCATAATTTAACCTCATCCTCCACTTCATTTGTGCAGAGGACACCCTAGGGCTTCCAAGGTCTCCTGAATGACATTCACCTTCCAGAATAATTTTTGGATTATTTTAGGATTTGATCTACTTTCAGGATTTGATGAACAGCCAGCATTTTGTTTTCGGTCTCACTCTTCACTTATGCACCTGTTTCCTAACACCACACTCACAACTGCACAGCCCTGCATTAAAGATAGCTTTTATGAACCTCCAGTCTCTTCTGGGAAAACACAGGGCGGGCCTGGCTGTCAGTCAAATTACTCACAAAAAGTAACTTTTACTGAATTGTCATCTAGTCACACAGCCAGTCACTGGCCATAAAAAGCGTGCACTAGGGACAGAGGGTGCACTAGGGACATAAAAAGGGTGCACTAGGGAGAAGGAAATAGGAGGAGGGTGAGTCCCTGGAATGGTCACAAAGGGGAGAAGATTCCAAAACCCAGAAACAGTCATAAAACATACCCAGAGTGGATGGCTTTGAGCAATGACAGCCTCACCTCTCTCTTTTCATGCTTGGTGGCCTCTGACTTTCCTCTCAGCTGCCCGTCCTGGCCTTGCTTTCTTAGACCAATACTAATGGCCTGGGAACTGGGGCCAGACCAGAGCACACAGTAGTGAGGGTAGGGGAGCTGAAAAGTGGGAAGAGTATCTCACTCATGGAGATCTGACTCACCCGTGCACACATCACCTGGGCAGAGAATGGATTAGTGAGGTGCTGTGCAGGACTCATGGTTTAAGGGATTGTACTAAGGAGTTACATTTCTTTGATCCTGCCTGACTGAGAGCAAACAGGTAGGTTCAGAAGGCATCACAGCTTTTTCCTACGAAGGCATGGGTGTTATTTGAAACCACTGTGCTTCCCTTCTCCCTCTGTTGGGTTACATTTTTCTATCCACTTGTTTACTGAGTTGTGTTCCAGGAAAAACAAATCTCGGTTGAATTTTTTAAAGTTCCAAACATTCAGTTCAGTTCAAGGTTGTCTCTCATCTTAGTGATGGCCAGACACAAGACTTTTTAAAAGGCCCTGCAGAAAATTTTGATAAAAGCCTTTGCATCACCCATAACACCTTTGGGATCACTGAGCAACAAAAATGATGAAGAAGAAATCTGTTATGTGCTGGAGACCTTTGTTTGCACCTCATCTAATGCTCACAACGACCCTTTAAGTAGGTACTATTATCCCTCTATCCCAAGACATCATTAACTAGTATTTTATCTCAGAATTGGTGAAAGGTGGAATCAGAATTCAGACTCACATATTTCTGAATCTAAAGCTTATATTTCAGTCCACACCACTGTACCTCCCAGAATTCAAAGAAACAAAGGATGACGGCTTCTAACAGAAATAACCATACCAGCTTCAGTGAAGAGACAGGGACTGAAATGAGCTTTAAGATGAAGAACAATTTAGGAGGCGAGCAGGCAGGTAGGCATTTTATATGAAGGAGTCAAATAATTGGAAAGTGTTTAGACATGAGAAAGTCAAATGTGGGTCAAGTTCTTCCATGTAGATCAAGGAAGTAGATAGGGGTCGTGTTATGGGGGCTTTGAATGAGAACTTAAGAAATTGGAATTTCATCCTATAGATGATAGGAGTCACTGGAAAGCTTTGAGAAGGTAAGTAACATCACAAACAATATTTCCAGGAAGATTACTCTGACAGTATTGGGCAAGATGACTTAGGGAAGTGGTCTTCAACTCTGGGGACTCAGGATTATCTGAAAGTTTTTTCCCCTTTCTTTTTTATAACTTTCATTTTGAAATAATCTTACACTTCCAAAAATGTTCCAAAAATAGTCAGAGTTCCCATATTCTTTTCATTCAACTTTCCCTAGTATTAACTTTATAGATAACCAGAGTATAATCATCAACATTAGTAAAATGATCACTGACATCTTACAACGAATGAATCTGCAGACTCTATTCAAATCCTCTCTGTCTTCCAACTAATGTCCTTTTTCTGGATCAGGATCCATACAAGAACACACACTGCATCTCATTGTTCTGTCCTTTCAGTCTCCTTCAGTCTGGGACAGTTCCTCAGAATTACTTTTGCCTTCATGACCTTAACATTTTAAAAGAGTATTGGCGAGTTTTTTTGTGGAATGACCCTCAGTTTGAGCTTACCTAATATTTTCTCCTGATTAAACTCAGGTTATCCACTTTGGGCAAAAATGCCACAGAGGCAATGCTACACCTTCTAAGATGCCCAGAATTTCTTTATCTTTGATTATTGGGAATGTTAACTTTGAGTACTGGGCTAAAGTTCCTTCACTGTAAAATGACTATTTTCCTTGGAAGCATTTTTAAATGACCAAATCCCAAGCCACACCATGGAGCAATCAAATTAGACTCTTTTTGAGGAAGGCACAGGCATTGGTATGTTTTAAATTCCCATAGGTGGCTCTAACCAGTAGCCACAGTTGAAAACCAACGACTTATTCAGTGAAAATTAGAAACCTGGAAATCAGCTAGGAAACCGTTCCTCAGGCCCCTCTTTTAAAAAATAACATCAAGTTCCAGGCACAAGTAATTATATCTGGACTTCAGTAATTAAATCTGAACAGGAGATATAATTATAGGATATAGGAGAATGGGAAGGTCAGAAATGATGGGTGAGTAGACTGCTGCTCAATAAAAAGAGAAGGCAGGACATCAAGTAGTGTCCAGCCCTTTTGTCCCATTGTTTCCTTAAACCTCAGAGAAATCTTTGCTGCAGTGAAACAACACACCATATAATTTTACTGTCCTAAGCTTTATGTGAGTTCCTAATTGCCACTGACAGGGAGGGAATTACGAAGCATATGATAGAAATGTATGACTGCACATGCAAAGATGCACACTTCCAGGGATGATTGAATGAACATCACGGAATCCAGGTCAGAGGTACACAACCTCTCCTAAACAACCTTGTCCTCCCCATCTGGTCTTTTGT